GTTTGCTTTGGTTTTGTTTTAAATAAGAGTTGCTATGGACATGGAATCTCTTCACAGAAAACAGGGGCCAACAATTACAGACTTCCCTATAACTTCCTCAGCCCCCACTATCACATGGGATACCTTTTATGGCATTTTCTCAAACTACAGCTGATGACTGAGAAGAGGAGGGGAGAAGAAAGGCTGGCATAGAAAATCTCAGAACTCATTGCACATGTCACATTTAATAACTTTTTAGTATATACACATACATACATAAAATGTACTTTTTTATTGTAACTTGCAGTGAGAAAAGACTTTGCAAACAATGTTTCTTGTTTTCATCTCTCTGCAGACAGTGGCAACCCTTAGGTGCATCTCACTACCAGACTTAACAAAAGGAACAGCAACCCTAATTCAAACTGCTCATCAGCTACCTGTCTGGAAGTAAAACTCAATGCCATTCAAAACCTTAAAAGCCCACTTGAGAAGCATAGCGACAGTTGTCCAATGGAACTCTGTAGATGGTGGAATGTGCTCCCAGAAGGGTGCAAGATGGCCGCTACCCACAAATAGCGAGCACTTGAGATGTGGCAGAATAACCTCATGTTGTTAGCGACTCCCGAGTTGGCCACTTCCTATCACTGCTTCCAGAAGCAATATCTGGATCCCAAGGAGTGCTATGTAAATCACCTGGCAACAACTTAGAATCACAGGCAAAACATCCAAGATGATGGGTGTACATCGTAAGCTCCCAAAGGCAGACTCATTAGAATTATTTTCAGTAAGTGTTACCAATTAGGTCCTACTATATTAGGGGGAACTTAGGAGAATATCTGGAACAGTCACCAGTAGACTAATTCGCTAACTTTCAGAGATGAAAAGCATACAGAACATCCAATGGCAAAAAGACAAATGACATTCAAATATCTTTTCAGAAATACAGATCTGAACTCCCAGTTTAGAGATCATTGCTGGAAATGTCAAATCCTCTTGCCTCGGCCTTTTCAGTGCGGAGATCACACACATACCAAAGATTTTCTGGACAATTTGTACCCTGAAATTTCCAGCAATATTACATGTAAATTGAGAAGTGACAGATTACTGCATAAGTTCTAAATGCCTTTGCCATTTCAGAGTGGCCTACATTCAACTCCAATCACCAGATGACTCCATTATGTACTTGCCAGAGCTAAACAAACAAACAAAAACAAGTAAGGCTGGGCATGGTAGTACATGCCTTTAATCCCAAAACTACACAGGAAGAGGCAGATCTGAGTTCCCTGACAGCCAGAGCTACAAAGTGAGACCAGGTATCAAAAAAGAACAAACAAAAAAGAGCAGGGAAGACAGGCCTGCTAGTTCACACTTGTAATCCTACATTTGGGAGGCTAAGGCAAGATCAGTCAAGGCCATTCTGGGCTATGTAGAACTAAGCTCAAAAGGAAACAGAAGAAAACTCACAAACAAAACAGGTAACAGCAAGTTCTATCATTTTAAAGTTTCATTTCAAGATACCTTTTTTTATTTTTTACAAATGGGTTGCTTGGCAGAACCATTGATTTAAATATTTACTGCCATCTGGACCAGGGAGCCTTAACTTGAGCATACAAAGCCGAGCACTGATGGCTTGAACACCCAGCACTTGGGAGGCAGAGGCTAGTGGATCACTGAGTTCAAGGCCAGCCTGGTTTACAAAGCAAGTTCCAGGACAGCCAGAGCTACACAGAGAAAAACTGTCTTGAAAAACAAAACAAAAATAGCAAAAACAAAACAAACAAACAAAACAAAAAACAAAACTGTGAGAATACAAAGTTCAGAGCCAGGTGTGGTGGCACATACTTGTAATCCCAGCACTCAGGGAGGCAGAGACTAGAGGATCTCTGAGTTCTAGAAACCACGTCTCAAATAAATAAATAAATAAATAAATAAATAAATAAGTAAATAAATAAATAAATAAATAAAGTTCGATATCCCAAGGAAATCATGGTATAGCTTTGTATCTGCAAAACTCCTACTAAATAAGATAATTTTATATGTACGAACGAACACACATGAAACATCTGTGATGCAGGTGTCAGAGCATATGTCAGTACTGCTGAAGCAGAGCACAGTACTTTATATAAAAATACAAAGGTGTGAAGGTCTGCAGAGATGGGAAGTGGAAAGCACAGCACTAAAAGAACTTTAAACACCAAGGCAAACAAAAACAATGCTTTCCATGTACAACAAAACAAGAGTGAGGATTATCAAACAATTCTAGTAAGATGGTTCATGTCAAAACAAAACAAACAAACAAAAAAAAAAAACATGTGCACATACAGGAAAATCTGGCATTTTCAACAAAGTCAAGAAAATGTCTTGGGGTGAGCAGAATTAAAAGAACACAGGATATTCCCCCTGCTCCTGTAAGGAAAGAAGGGTGAGCAAGTTCTGTCAAATATTAAAAATCAAGAGTTTAGTATATTTAGAATTAGGGACTAGAAAAAGAGTTGCTACCTTTAAAAATCTGCATCAATGCAATATAATGAAAATGTACTAAAAATAGTTTTAAGCTGGGCAGTTCTGATACATGCTTCTAATCTCAGCACTTTGGGAGGCACAGGCAAGCAAATCTCTGAGTTTGAGTCCAGCCTGTTCTATAACAGTGAATTCCAGGACAGCAAGGGCTGTCCAGAGAGATCCTATCTCAAAATAAAATAAAATAAAAAACTGTGTGTAGCCCTAGCTGTCCTGGAATTCGCTCTGTAGACCAGGCTGGCCTCAAACTCAGAGCAGCCTGCCTCTGCTTCCCAAACACTGAGATTAAAGGTGTGCACCACAACCACCTGGTTCTAGAGAGGGTAGGGAGAAATGAAATCAAAGCACTGCCAGGCAATGATGGCACACGCCTTTAAACCTAGCACTCAGGAGGCAGAGGCAGGTGGCTACCTGGTCTAAAGAGTGAGTTCCAGGACACTAGAGCTACCTGGAGAAACCCTGCCATGAAACAAAACAAAACCAAACCTGAAAGTACTGTCAAACGATCAAACAAGAGCTATGGGTCTGGAGTGAGGCTCAGCAGCTAAGAGCACTTACTATTCTTGCAGAAGATCCAGTTGGTCTCCAGCACTCACATGACTCGTAGCTGTTGAACTCCAGTTCCAGGGAACTAGATGCTGTCTACGGACTACCTCAGGCACCACACACACAGGTGGTACATATGCATACCTGAGACATACCCATGGGGGGGGGGGGTGTGTGTGACTGTGTGACTGGCACAGCCACAGCTTACGTTTAGAAATTCAGAACTTGAGGTGTTTTGAGCTGGCATTTACATACATCCTCCCACAGTGGGATTCATTTAGATTCTATTTCTTTGTGTAGCTGTAGCTGTCCTAGAACTAGCTCTGTGGACTAGCCTGGCCTCATCTTGTAGCTGTCCATCTGACCTGTACTCTTGACTTCATATAGAGGATTACCGCCAAATGAGAATAGCCAGTCGCCCTATTCTGTACACTCAGTACTGAAGACAGCCTGTGAGAAACTCGATACACATAGTAGAGAGCCACCACCACAGCTCATCATCTTTCTTCCGACAGTGCTGGCACTCACACAGCGAACCTAGCACACGCTTGGCAAGCACTCTAACAAGGCGCGTTCGTGGTCCCTGTCTTCTCGGTAGAGTCCACGTGACCCAGGCTGGCCGCAAACTTGTGATTATAGGTATACACCCACCACACCAGACCATTTACTACATTTAAACTTTTAAACGCAGTTCCAGCATTCAAAACATCTATCAACCTGAACACTGTCCTAGCTCTCAAATGGTGATTCAGAGCACTAATGAAATATCCATTTACATGTTAACCCTGTACGTTAGCCACCATGGTTATTTGTGACTAGCTTAGCTGGTTGTTATATGCCTGGCTTACTGGCTGAATTTAACTGGCAGTAGCTTACTACAGCTGACTGACTATACAGGGCTTTCTTATCCAGAAAGCATGTTACTAAGGGTCACAGGAATCAAAATCTTTGATTTTGGACTCATTCACACTTCCTATCTGACAAAAGCTATAGTTATTTAAATCTTAGATACTTCTGTTTCTTCATTTATAACAAGAAATACGTACATATATTATGCAGGCTAATGAACAACTGCCGTGACTGGGACACTACCTAACTTAATTAGCATCATTTAAGTGTTGAAGTTATTTAACTCCTATATAGTATATACTGAATCCTGCTGTGGAATTGTTCATTTATCCACTACAATTATTCACCCATTACAAATTATTTCAATTTCCTATTACAAAAATACACCCTATTGAATTTTTTAACTTCAGAACTGTATTTTATGATTCCTTTTCCACTTCTAAAAGTTGATACTTCTTAAAACTGAACTATAATCTAGCATTAAAAGAACATGGACATTAATCTCTACCAGAATCTCACTTGTTGGTAACAAGTCTACCTACCAGCCAATTTCATGACTGTATACATTTTATCAGTAAGCTTCAGGTATCCAACCTCATACAAGTTAGTCATGAGTGCAGCCCAACACAGACCACATCTGTTGTAATATCAAAAGATGGAACACCCCTAAATGATCCACACTTACACAGAATACAGAATGCTGAGATTATAAACATTGCTATTTTCAGAACACTGAATAGGGACTGACTGTGACAGTAAGAGCAGTTAGCTGGCAATCTGTGGGATATTTTAGAAGTCTGTTATAAAAGCAATGCTATTGATTCCATATTTATTTTATAAGGATCTTTATCAGGTTGAAAAGAATGAATTCATAATAATAACCACCTAAAGACAGTATTTTTCTCTCAACTAGTGATTTCTGTTCTCCTACCCATAGTTCAGCTTACCTTTTGGTCTACATGAGCCACACCTCATTTCTCAGGATCTAAACTATACAATTATGTATTGCAGACAAAACATCCTTAAGGTTGCTTTAAAATGATACAAGGAAAGAGTAGATCGTTTCAAGTTTACAGAGAACCATACTGCAACAATTGACCAATATAAATAGTTCTTAATACTTGTTTATTAAGTTTTATTCAGATAGTAACTCTAATATTCCTAACGCATGTTCCCCTATACTTTCCTTATGTGAGTTTTCTGGCTTTTAAGTAAAAACATCTCAAACTCAACAACCAGTTTATAGCCACTGTTCCTATCAAATGGTGATACACCAAAATCCCAATTCGCATGAATTTTAACATATTCAAAGTACATTATTTAACCTAAGACTGAAAAACTGTGCCTTAACTTTATTAAAAAAGATAACCACATCAATTTAATTACATATGTGATACTACCTATTCAATTTATTAAAAATTGTAATAAACATAATAATTAACTAGTGCTCCAAACTTAGGCTGTGCAGAGAAGACACTATAAGAAGACACAAGAGACTGCCTTGCAATACGAAGTACAGATTCCTTCTACAGAGATGGAGAAATAAAGGACAAATCTAGTTGTCTAAAAGACAATTCACTGTACACATTTTATTTACAGTTTTGTACACTGTCTTAATATGAATGGGACCGCTTTTCTACTTGAGCCATTGTAACCAAAGCAAAATAACCTAAGTAATACAAAGTGTTAAAGTACAGCATAAAGATACAAAAGCAGACATACTAATTCTAGTTAGGAATGTAATTATGGTGTTACATTTTTATAGTCCACAATTATGTTTAGGGATCACACAGACATAGATCACTGATTTGAATGAAATGCATAAATTTGTAGCAAAGCTTTGTAGTTACAAAAAAACAAAAAAATTACCAAAGAATGCACAAATTTAATGTTTATTCCACCTTTCTGTCATATTCCTGGATCCTTCACCAATGTTACATGAGGAAAAACCAAAAGCAAAACAAATGAAAAACTGAAATCAGAATCACTAATGTTATCAAGGAGGGAAGCAAATAAATTAAAGTCTAGCAGCCATCAGCGAGAGGGCAGCAAGGACAATGCTGTGAAAGGAAACAGAAGGTTGCTAGAAAGCCATACTCAGACTCACAGCAGCTAAATTCGCTCCTGTGTGGAGTGGAACAGAAACAGATCTTTTCCTGCTAAAGTAATAGAAATGTAAGTTTTTTTTTCGAATACTGTAGAAAGGCATGTGTGTGTGTCATGGTAATTCTAACCGGCTGTTACAGAGCGGGCCAGGAACACACCTGCAGGTTCTGGGGTGATGTATACTGTAATTCTTTGATTGGGATAGTGGACACACTAGCAAAAATTGGGATGGGAGTGGGGATAAGAATGAACACAGAAGTACAAGACAAAGGCGAATGAGACTTCTCTTATATCTTAGCAACATTTAGATGGAATCAGCTTCAATGCAGTCCACTCTGCTCTGATGAGGCTTTGGTTCAGCTCCCAATCTCGATTGCGTGACGCAGTCTCCTGTGAGAATACTCAGAAGGTGTCTTCTTAAACAACAAACCTATTTTTAGTGGTGGAGCCGCTCTTTGTAGCTGTGTCTGCGTGGGACTGATAACCAATCACTATCTTCGGAGGAAGTCCTAACCTTTCCTTGTATACCCTCCTACAAGACAAAGGAAACAAAGATCATTAATATTTCTTTAGTTTTTACATAAAAAATGCCCACACAAGGAAGCAAAACACAGCGTGTTCATTTTCTTTCAGTATAACTAGCAAAATTAAAAATTAGTCTTTACTTCACAACCAAACTTAAATCATATTATGCACATTTGCAATCCCACCAGATCTGTGTAAGGTATAACGATTATTACTAAATTAATAATGAACAAAACAGGAGCAGTTAGTAGGCCCATAGCATTTGTTTTCATAAATTACATTTACATATGAATTCTATTGTTTTATGTACTAACTTCACAAACCAATTTTCAAATAAGTTGTGACTATTTTAAAAGCAAAATGTGATGTTTTATTTTAAAAACTAAAATATATACAGGGTAGTATATGAGTATGAACTATGTAAATCAGTGTCTAATTTCATCTGTAGTATTAATATAAATCTCTCCTTAAAAGGCCAATCTCTCTCCTTAAAAGTGCCTGTAATCCCAGCACTCAGGAAGGCAGAGGCAGGTGGATATCCTTGAGTTCGAGGCCAGCCTGATCTACAAGTTCAAGGGCAAGTTCAGGGCAGCCAAGACTACACAGTGAAATCTTGTCTTGAAAAAGCAAAAGACAAAACAAAACAAAATAATACACACACACACACAAAACCCCCCCCAAAACAACCAACAACAACAAAAAAGCCAAAATGGCATCATAGTGCATGCCTTTAATCACAGCACTTGGGAAGCAGAGACAGGTGAATCTCTGAATTCAAGGATAGCCTGGTCTACATAGTGAGTCAAGATAGCCAGGGCTCTGTAGATATCCTGCCTCAAGATAGATGGATGTCAAGGTGTTAACAGTTTAATCTTCAGGGAATGAAGCACATCTAAAGGCTGAAAAGAAACAAAAAACTATAGAAAAAAACTGAAAGTTCTCTAACTATAGATTGTAAGCGAATATGAAGTAAGGGTAACAAACACTTGAAAGAGAGGAGAGAACTTCATCTGTCAACCTTAGAAATCTGTATTTTTAATTCTCAGGAAAAAATACTCAACAATAAAAAATGAGCAATATAATTAAAGGAAGAACCACTCTCACTGAGCTTACTCCCCCAGCAGGCTCTAATTCACTCTAAACAGGTTTTTCTTTTTCTTTCTTTCTGTTTTTTTGAAATAACTAAGGCAACTAGTACTAGCTGACACTGTAACAGTTTCTTAAAATACACTTTACCATTAAACATGAATTCATACATACATACACACACAAGTAGTTGTATGTGCCAATTGGAAGCATTAAAAAATATTTTCTTAAAAAATATTTTAAGGTTAAAATATTTTTAAGGTTAAAATTTTTTAACCTTAAAAATATTTAAGGTTAAAATGTTTCAGAGATTTCAAAACATCTAATATTGAAAGAAAACATCTATAACAAACTCATCTGATATTCCTACAGTAAATGTTGATACTAAAAGATGAAAAATGACAAGTCAACAATGAATCCCTTATAAGTCCCACCTAGAAGCAAACTTTGACTTTTATTTTTACTCATTTACATGTAATCAAAGAGATTTAAAGCAAAACTGGTATGTGTCTGTGATTTCTAAAGAATAAAATACAAAAACTTATAATGCATATGGCCCCGCTGCAAGACCATTTAACAGAAATGAAAAGCAGATAAATGCATTCAGTACCAACAGGGTCCAAACTTATAAGTACTTGTGCAAACATTTACAAAGAAAGTAACAGTTTATAAACATCAAAGTTTCTGAAGCTGTAGTACATAGGACTTCTGCATTTAGTCAAAACTGTCAAAGAAGAAGGCAAGTAGAGCAAACATACCCTATGTGTGTGACGGCGTCTCTGTTCTCACACTCAGTAGTCCATATTGCTATCTTGTCACCTTTAGCTCTAACATTGACAACAGCCCCACACACATCATCACTGTAGTCATCAAAAGATTCTCCAATAAGGCACAGCAGCTAAAAAAGATTATAATGAACATCTCATCAACTCAGAAGAAAGCACAGGACTCTTCTGTGTGAACAGTTATAAAACTAAACCAGACTTTAAATCAAGAGTTGACCTCTTAAACTGGTTGGTGAGGCAGAGGCACCACTGCCAAGTCTGAAGCCTTCCTAATCTACAGAGACAACAACAAAAAACAAAGCAAGTGAATAAAAAAGTGAGTCAACTTTGTTGTGGATGGAGACAGGACATGCATGCCATGGCAAACCAATGAAAGCGGAGGACAACTCACACCATGTGGGTTCTGGGAATGAAACTCAGGCAGTCACACTTTGGCAGCATGCGCCCTTACCAGCAGAGCTATGGACCAGCTTAAAGAACTGACTTTTAAAATGTCTAAATTCTATTCATTTATATGTAATATATTATTTTTTGCCTTGCCTTAAAAAATAAGTCAAATGTTTTCACTTTTTCAGTAAATTAGGCACACACAAAAGTGATCTAATTAATATGCATTTGCTTAGCCCTTGGTTTGTTGGCAAACAATTATTAGTGAGATGACTGAAATCGCATTAATTGTCATGTTCTAACAGTTTCAAAGTAGAGCTCAGTAGCATTAAATACATTGAGCAACTGTTACTATGATCCATCACCACAATTTTTTCAACCTACAAAACTGAGATGTCCTTTTGCCTATGGCAGTGGCTCTCAAAATAATGAGTTGGGACCCCTTTGTGGATTGAACAAACTTTTCACAGGGACTGTGACCACTGAAAACCACAAGACATTTATATTACAATGTGTAACAGTACCAAAATTACAGTTATGAACTAGCAGCAAAAATAATTTTATAGTTGGAGGTTACCACAACACAAGGAACTGTTTTAAAGGACTGCAATATTAGGAATGTTGAGAAACACTGTCCTATAGGATTCTAAAATGGTATTTACTTAAACTCTCCTCCAAAAGCATAATTAAATCTTGCTGTAAAATATTCCTGATCCATAAGTGGTTAAAAAAAAAAAAAAAAAGCAAGCATCAACTATAAACTCCATTGGCAAAAATTAGGAACTAAAACCTAACCACAGAAAATGCCTATGATTTCATAATTAGAGTAGTTCATAAAGTGCCAAAGTATGTCAAAACATATGAAATAATTTAACCAACAATTTTATTGCTTTCTTCACTAATTTCAATTTTTTATAATTTATTTTAATAATGTTATAAGTGGGTTGTAAAACCTTACATTAATCACAACATGTAAGATTCTATCTTTTTTTTGATTAATGAAATAACAGGGTAGAATTGATTGTAGAAAATGAAGTTGATGTTTATCACTTCTTTTTTTCCTTTTTATTTTTTGAGGCAGGGTTTCTCTGTGTAGCTGGGAATTTACTCTGTAACCCAGGCTGGACTCCAAATCAGAGATCCACCTGCCTCTGCCTCCCTGAGTGCTGGGATTAAAAGTGTGTGTCACCATGCCTGGCTTGTCACATGACAGGTAAGAATTATTTGCCAAATAGCCTATGCCCATAATCCCAGCAATCAAAAGGTTGGAAGCAGCAGGATCCTGAGCTGCACTAGCAGCCACGCTGCGTAGTAAAGCCATGTCTTTAAAGAGCAAGGGTTGGGGACTTTACTCAGGAAGAAAGGTCACACCTAGACATACTAAGAACTTCTCTTCATTTTTCTAACTATTTTAATTTATAAGGTATTTTCAGATTAGTATAAAAGGCAGTGGGTTTCATCATGGCACCTTCACTTTCATCATATTTTGCTCACATTTGTTCCCCTCCCCATATCTCTCTCATTCCCCACCCCTTTCAATGTTTCCCTTTGTCTTATCCCATTTGATCCATCCTTCTACTTTCCTATCACACATATTAACTGTCCTACTTCCCATCTCACTATATATTATTAGTAGTTTCAAGACCTAAAAATACATTTTATGTAAACAAACACACACATATGTATTTTAAACCTAAGTTCTACATATGAGAGAAAACATGCCGTATTTTTTTTCTTCCCAAGTCTGGCTTATTTTGCTTAACATAATACTTTGCAGTTACATCCAAAAAAAAACAAAATGCTTCAGGAATTTGCACGTCATCCTGTACAAGGAGCATACTAATTTCTATTTTGTTCTGACTTTGGTGTATATGATGACAGGCAAGCACTTTTCTAGAATAGGTACCCTAAGTAAGCCAACGAAAAATATATCCTAAAACTGGTTATAATTTAAAGCCTTACTGTCTCTAGCCAAAAGCGATCGAGGTCACTTCGTCTCTGCTGTTTGTTCAATGTAATTAGCCATCGTCCTCCCCGTTTGTTTTTCTCATCTTCCCACATAGGCTCAATACCATCCTATAGTATAAGAACACAATATTAGATAATATTGTTACTTATTTTGAGCAACAGTCAATACCAGAATCAGCAAGCAACAACACTGACAACTTTTCCTTTATTCTCTATACCCTTGCTGTTGGTACAGTTTTTAAAAATATGTAAGTAAGAACTATATGCCAAAGGCATGCGACTATAGAAGAATATCACTTTATCCCTTAACCATCAAACCTTACGGTTTCACGTCATCTGAAGTTTCTTGAAATTCCAAAGAAGCAGAAACCTTTTAGAAGCTACATTAAAAGTTATGTAATATAAGCTAATTAATGTCCTATCCTAGCACCTGACAAAGGTCTGTTTATAAATATCTCATGGGTTTAAAATTAGCTGATGAAGTCAGTCTATTCAGGTATATCCAGGAAGGGCTTGCACAGGATTAGCAAGGCTCAAAGTCAATCCCAGGATGTGCCTGCCCGTGAGTAACTAACTCACATCACAGAGTTCTGTAATCAAGCCTGGTAAAGACAACTGCCTGAATCTGTGGCCAGTTTTTACAAATACCTGAATGTTCTGGTCCTGTAATAAATATAAATAATCATTGATTAGGCATACCTTAAAAAGTGAGTAGTCACAGCCAGGCATTAAATTACTAGACAACTGGATATGGTTGTATAGACTAGGTAAAAGAAAATAATAATTAAAAACATAATATGTAATGCAGGGTTTGGGTGCTTACAAAGATAACACACACACACATATACACACACATTTGAAAATATGAAAAAAACGTAAAAGTACGTATATTTGTTTTTCTTTTTGACTGTTACTTTCTGAAATGGACAAAGCAGGTCTATAAGTAATGATTACATTCAAATTTTATAATGTAAATTACTAAAAAACTATCTCAAACAATTGTTCTAACAAAAACATTTTAATACATTTGTTAACTTAGTGCATATTTGTACATTTAAGAAAATTAAATCATCAGGACTGCATGGTTCAGTCAATCAACATTATCACCTCTGCAAGTGTCTAGGTATAAACACAGCAGTGGTTCTCCAACTCCAAAAGTGGTTCCTATCCAGTCAGTACCCAAATGTGGGGAGCTCAGGCATATACCAGGATCACAGCCGTATACCACAGTTGAATCTGTGCAAATACTTAATAAACTGTGGAATGGTATTTGAGATATTTGATATCTGCTGCCTGAAGGCAGAAGGCTCTATCACTCGTCTCTTGTAGAATAAAATGGATTTAAACATTGGTAACAGTAATTGCCCATCTCCAATATCAGAATGAAAGTGACTTAAATATTGAGAACAGCACTTGCCCAGCTCCAATCAGATGGCAGAGATGATCTTAGTTACATGCCTACAAACTTTAAATGACAGTACATGAGGTACATCCTGTGCTGACTTTAACTCTGTCTAGGAATATTTCCGACAACTTTAATAAAGAATTTTACATCTTTCTAATCACACCACACAGTGTAATTCAGCTTGAAAGAGATAACATAAGGTAGCTAATGGTTCACTGTTCCTAAACCACAACCTTGAGAATTTTAAGACTACAAAAAGTAGAGTAGAGCAAAAAGGACTTTACAGAGACTGCTTATATAAAATGCTAGAAAGGAGTAGAAATAAAGTGGTCCAATGTGCACAGAAGCGTGGAGGATTTTTTCCATTCTCTCAGTTACAGCCCCAAAGATTTTGCTTATACTAAGTAAAGTGTAGGGCTGTGTTCTATTAGAGGACAAGTTATACACACAATTATATAAACTGGTAAAAACCAAACAATCCAGACTAAATGCAAATATGACTCAAGGTAGGACTCAAGACCCTTCTTTTTCCTTAGTATGAGAGCTGTTTTTTGAATCTGTAAAGGAGGCTTCAGAGTTATTCAAGAGTCTTGGAGTAAACACAATTAGAGTATAAAAACCACTTGATCCTTTGAAGAACTTCAATTTAACTAGACAACTACCTCTATTAATTAGTAGAACTTAAATATACCTGTATCATAAGAAAACTATCAGAATGTTCTTAGTAGAAAAAAGTGAATTCAATGAAAAATAAAACTACTGAATTCTGTATTTTGCCTTTTTCAATGGTGCAATGTCATCTACCACTTATCTACTACAGGCCAAGCACTGGAAATAGAGTACTGACTGTGCCCTTAAAAAGATAAACAGCTATGAGTTTTATGACTACACTCCATTCTTCTGTGTGATTAAAAGACTCAAGAGTTACATAAAATGTCAAGAATCACTAAATTCAGCATGTATGGACCTAACATAAATATACAGATTACAAAACTGTGAGGCAATTCAAAGCTCTTCAAACTTTTGCCTTTCATAGTCTCAAACAATATTTCCCTGTATGTTCTCCAAGAAAACTGTGATGAATTAACTTTGGAGGAGCTGGGATGCAGCCCAATGGTACATCACTTGCCTACCATGTTTAAGGTCCTGAATTTGATCCCCAGAAAATGAAAGCTACTGTTTTAAGACAGTACTCAATTTCAAAGCATCTTAGGCATGGGTGGTGTATATCTGCTTTGCCTTGTAAGGTAAAGGTGGTGGAACCCCAAGATCCATAATGCTAGGACATCCTCAGAAACTCAGCTACATCCTATCTCAAACAAATAATCAGTTCTTGAAAAAGACTCGGTTTATAGTCTATTTTTAAGTCTTTAAGTATTGAAAAGTTTATAATTCTAAGTAAACTTTCTTAACCTGAAAACTAAAGCTAAAAAAAAAAAAAAAAAAAAAAAATTTCAATTACTTTCACAAATTGC